CTGGCCGTCCAATATCAACACATGGATTACTCCAAGTATACTCAGGGGCACGGCTCGCAGGGCGGAGATTTCAAGCAGTATATGCAGTCCTATGGTGGCGACTATAGCAAGTACATGCAGGGGCACGGCTCGCAGGCAAGGAGTTGTTGGTGATTGCTGAGTAGTTCTGAAGTGATGGGGCGAGTGGGTAGGTCGGACCTGTGTGGTGACCGATGGTCGAATTTGACGAGATCCGTCCTCGAGTCTTGAGAGACAAATCGCGACTGTGTTGTTTCGGGTTTACGCGTTTATGTGTCGGGAGCCTTGGGTGCAAGAACGGGTGTTTTGAGTTTTGTTTTTGCTGGCTCTTCTTCTTTTGTTGTTGTGCTCTGCAGCTGGAGCCCCGGCAAATCAGCAAGTGAGTGAACGGCCAGTTGGGGCCCAACAGCCAAAACAGAAAGCCCCCCGCACCAACAGCCAAAAAAAGGAACACCACTACGCACAAACAGCCCAAAAATGATGACCCCCTCGCCGCGGCGACAGCCAAAAAATCACGTCACCACATCAGCAGCAAGAAAACAAGCACTCTCCCTTCAGAAACTACAAACAAAACAGAAAAACACTTCCTTGGTAGCGACAGCTTGTTTGCTGTTGTGCCCTGCAGTTGAAGCCCCGGCAAACCAGCAGGTGAGTCAACGGCCAGTTGGTGCACCCACGGCCAAAAACAACACCGTCCCGCAATAACAGCAAAACAACACAGCAGCCAAAACCCACACTTCCGCATCAACGGCCAGCAAACTAACCCTGTCCCCACAACAACAGCGAAAACAAAATCATGCACACCCGCGCACACACACACACACACACACACACACATCCACGCGCGCGCGATCAAAACGCACACACCAACAGCAAAACACAAAGAAGCCACCGACAGCGACAGCAATCCAAAGCTACGTTTCCGCAGCAATGGCAAACAAGAACACCCGACCGCCGACCGCAGCAGCGGCAGGCAAAAAATCAACCGAGCTTAGGACAGCGTTGTCAGTGCTAGCAACATCCAATGGCAGGAGATCTACTTGTTTGAAGATTTTTGCTTTAGTTCGTGATTCGACTTGACTATGTTTTTCAGGCTTTGTTGTTTGTCGTTTTGCTCTGTTTGTTGTTGCTTTTAACCCTTTATTTTGCCTTTTGTTGCTTGTTGCTTTTACTGGTTTTGCTTGCTGCTTTTAGTTTGTTTTTGCTTGTTGGTTTTTGTTTTGTGCAATGTCTTCCGAAACAGTTTTTGATATTGAAAATCAGGGAAGTGTTGTTCGGTCTTCCATGTCATATTCTACATGATCGTTGAGGGGGCATGTTGGAGATACATGATGAACCGGAACCGTCAGATGAAGGGGCGTGTGTAAGATATATGATGAGCCGGAACTGCCACATGAGAGGACGTGCTTAAGATACATGATGAACCGAAATCGCCACATGAGGGGGCATGTCAAAGATATATGATGAAGCCGAAACACCACATGAGGTGGAGTGTTTCAGATATGACGAACCGGAATCACCACATGGGTGGGCCGTGTTAAAGATATATGATGAACCGGAATCGCCAAGTGAGGGGGCGTGTTTGAGATGTATGATGAACCGGAGTCGCCAAGTAATGGGGGCGTGTTTAAGACGTTTAAGATGCATCATGAGCCGGAATCGCCAAATGAGGGGGGGTAGACAAATCATAGCCGGAATCGCGAAATGGGCGGGGCATGTTGAAGACATATGATAAACTGGAATCCCAGCATGAGCCTGTATCATGCCAACTCAAACCTGTGGAATAAATGAGGGGCGAGTTTCAGATATATGGTGAGCCGGAATTTCCAAATCGATTGCAATGCACGAAACCCAAAATCGTAAAAAGCACAGCCATGAGTGTGCAGGCGGAACATACCCCATCGCTGTTTTTGGGCTCCATAAAGACACCCTCCCGCAGCACAGCAAAATAACACCCCCTTGCACCAACAACAAAAAAGACAAAGCACCCCAACAGCAAACACAGAGCACCAACAAAAAAGCAGGCACAAAAAATAAATCCCCCGCAGCAACCAACAAACATGCAGCAACCGCAAGACAAAAGCACACCCTGCAGCAACAGCAACAACACAAGAAATCAGCTCCAACCGCAGCACAGCAAAACAACAACCTCCCCGCAGCGACAGCAAAAAAGCAGTAACAACTACCAACAACACTGAGCACTCTTACCCTTGGTTGCAAAGCTGAGTGTCCGGCATGTGCTTTAAGAGTTAACCTTGTCCTCGTTATCCTTGCTTGCCTGTTGCGACAAGAGTCGTCACGAGTAGCCCCCCGCCCTTCGCCTCAGCTGGTTTGCCTCCACCCCCTTTCCAAATGAGGTCTTAAGACAGGTTGGGCTGCCTCACAAGTACAGGGCTCCGGGTGTGTTTGATTTTGTTGTCGGGAGCTTGGGTTTGATAGAGTTAGTACTCAGGAATGTCGAGACTCACTGATGTAAGTCGTTCTGAGACAGGGTGCTCTACGGAGGACATAGAATCAGTCTAAGTAAGCTTGCGCAATCCCGTCAAAAACACGCTATCCCAAGCTTGCTTGCAGGGTGGTGACCACAAGCAGTACATGGATTACTCCAAGTATACTCAGGGGCACGGCTCGCAGGGCGGAGATTTCAAGCAGTACATGCAGTCCTACGGTGGAGACTACAGCAGCTCCTCCAATTATCAACTTTATTTATTTTTGTTCCTTCTATCTTTGTCTTTTGAATTTTGAAGTCTCCTCTGGTGCTGATCATGGCAGATGAAAGGCAAGTACATGCAGGGGCATGGCTCAGCCGGAGACGGCTTCCAGAAGTATATGGACTACTCCAAGTACACTCAGGGTCAAGATCATCAGGGCCCATCTGGTCCGGCTTTGGTCTTGGCATCAACTGGCCCCAATGCCACTTCAAAGCAATCCCGATCTGATGCTTCCGGGCGACAGCAGCTCTCCGAGGGTCAGCGTGAGGAGCGCGAGAGGCAGACGGAGAAGGAGCGCCTGCGCCAAGAGCTGCAGTCCGAAAAGGCGAGCCTTCGTGCTGAGCTGGCGTCCGAGAAGGAGCACCTGCGAGATGAGCTTGCCGCCGAAGCCAAGGCAGCAGCTGCTGCCGCCCAGAAGGCAGCGAAGGCCGCTAAGGGCGAGCTTTTCGTCGCTCCTGATCAGCAGAACACAGAGGAAGCGAAGGAGAGCAAGCTGCGCGAGGAGGAGAAGCAGCAGCTTCATGAAGAGCTGGCCTCGGAGCGGGAGCGTTTGCAGAAGGAGCTTGCCCAGGAGGAGGAGCACTTGAAAGAGGAGTTGGCCTCCGAAGCTAAAGAAGAGCAGGCGGAGAAGGCCAAGGCCACCCCTCCGGCGCAGCTCGCAGCGATTCCGGCCGGGTCTCGGCCGCTGGTCGCAACCGGTGCCCTTGCGCTTGGCGTGCTCGCCGCCGTCGCCTTCGCCGCCCGACTTCGCCGTCAGCGCCAGGCTGATGCAGCCGAAGACTACCTCATGTATGTTGAAGCACCGATGGAGATCGCCTAGGGCCTCGGGGCTGAGCGTTCACCACTGAGCTGAGCGGCATTGCTGGCTGACTGCAAGTAGACTCTTCGAGGCATAAGCTTTACCCTCGAACCAGATAGAGCCGAATGAATCTGTTGCCTAAGCTTTACAAGCCGTTGGCCAGCTCTGCTGGGAGCCTTTTCCAGCGGCTACACATGCTGCGAATTTTGCGTTCCGGAGAGACTGATGGGAGGAACGGGCCATGCCGTTCCTCAGGCTGTTGTGCAGTCGCTGTAATGCTTTAAGATGCAGGACGGCTTTTGTTTCGCTTGATCCATGCAGCTCTTCTTGCTTGCTTCCCTCCGGATTGCTTCCCTTTCAACTTTTGCAGGACACATGAAGGTACTCTGCAAATTCCGCTGTCTGGTGGACTTTGCCACAGAGCACGCTCTTGTGCTTGAATGTGTTTGCCTGCTAAAGCTTAAGGCATGCCAGGGCGCATGCTAGACGCCTTCGAATCAAGCTGCTGTTGTTGCGAGAATATGGTCTTGGGATCGTACTGTAGAAGCGCTTGCTTTGGGAACAATCGAGACCTCCGAACTAGGAGCGTCCGCGTTGTGAAGCACGGTCAGACCAGACATGTAATCCTAGGAGGGGTCGGGAGCCCGGCAATGCGGAAGGTACACAGGTTCAATTGGGCTGTCAGATTCGAAGACACCTGGTTTGCGTGTCCTCACTCCAGACCACAGAGGCAGCCGAGGCACTCTGTCGGAGAATTCCAAAAGACATCTTGACGGCTCCGAGCGACATCGCTCCAAAAGGCGCCTTCAGTGCTAAAAGGCTCGAGGGTGTCGCGTCGATGAAGGGCATATTGCAAAGCCTTGCTTGTGTTTTGTGGGAGATGTCGGTCCTGCCTCGCGGCTCGGGTTTGTAAGCCTTTCTACAAAACTCAGAATGAGTGCACGCTTGATCCACGAGGTGAACGAGGAGAAGATGAGCGAGGGAGCAGTCGAAGAGCTTCGGCAGCCGAACGCCTCAGCCTGATGCTGAATCACTCGCCTGGAAATAGCCCTCCCCACTCAGCTGCCGCAATCGACCCTGAAAGGATGATAGCACGTCAAATCATCCATAAAGTCATACAGATCAACTGCCAGGAGCATTTGCTTCTGGGGTTTCCGGCCTCCAGTAAAACGCTGTGGACAGTCTTCGGCAAGCGACATTTCAAAGCCCATTCCACGGTGCCCTGCCAAGGAATTGGAGAGAAAGATGCTTAGCTCAGCAGAGGCTGGAAAGTTCGAGGAGGCTGCAAAGCACAACAAGCAGTTGCTCTCGGCTCAGCTAGATGACGAGGGCAGCGTACTGACAGCAAATGTCAAGTTCTATGAGCCACGGAAGCATTTGACGAGAACATGATCATGCCAAGACATGTTTGCCCTGCGGTGCTCAGTTCTGTGTCAGCCAAGGAAGCGTTCAACAAGCGAAATCTTGCCTTGATGAAGAAGTGCTGGTACAATGTGCCGTTTGCACAATGCATCCACCCTTACGTGGCATGGCATCGACAGGATGTACATGTCCGCCTCATCCTTGATTAGCTTTGCGTGTTTGCACCTAAGCGATGGGTCTGAGGATGAGGATGGCCACCACCACACAGGCTACACTGACATTTGCATCCCGACTGCAAGCATACATGGGCTGATTCTTGGCAAATTTTGCGTTTGCTGCCGCACGGCCATTGTCTACGCAGAAAGCATAGCGTGACTGTGGCAACAGCGATGCGCCGCAGATGGAGCCCGTATGGACGCGCAAGAAAGGTATGACGTCCTAATGGAATCATTGAACATGGGAGTTTCCGAAAATAAGGGGTACCTGATTTAGGGGTCCACATAATACGGATCCTACTTTAGGGTACTATATTAGGGTCCCCTATTTTCTGAAACCCCCACATGGGCATCTTCTGCAGCCAGGCTCTTCCTTCGAGAGGGTTTTCAAGGAGTCCAAGATGCAGACCCAGGTGTCCTTCGACAAAGTGAAGGCCGGGCCAAGAGTCGCTCCCTTAAAAAAAGAGCCCTCAAAACAGTACTATATATATATATATATACATACACCATATATACTACATATATATATATATATATATATTATACTATATACATGTTGTATATATATATATACATACATATATATACATACATATATATATATATATCTATATATATATATATACTATATGTGCTAAATTATATCCTGGGCCTGGCCCTGGGCCTGGCCTCGGGCCGGCGGGCTCCCAAGAGGTCAACGTGCGGGGTGGCACTGCCATCGTGACCTGCCTGGAACGGCTCGTGGGCAAGAACTACAGGAGAGGGGTTTAGGGTTTAGGGTTTAGGGTGTTGGCGAACATGAACAGCTTGTCCAGGCGAGAACCAACAAGCCTGCTGAAAAAAAAGGGTTAAACAAAGGGTTTAGGGTTTAGGGTTTAGGCACTTTGCCAGTTTTTGGCCGAGTCTCATCCGCAAAGTCCCGCCAGGATCAACCTGCGGGTCAGCCACATCTTCCGGAAGAGCGCTGACGACCGATGGAAGATGCTGCACAGGCATGCGAGCAAACCGCCAGGCAGTGAAGGGGGTGACTGCGATTTTGACGGTTCGTAGCTGCCCAAGGCTCACGTGTTCACAACTGGCTGCGAATTGCAAAAGTCGACAGTTGTCCACTGCTCGTCAGGAGAGAGTTCCGGTCTGGAAGCAGACGAGGAGAGCTTTCAGCAGTTTCAAAAGGTGATGCGAGCCGCGCAGAACGTGGGCCTGGGTGGCAATTCGATCGTCATCCGGGCACCTTTCTTCACCCCGGAGCATGAGGGCGAGGACGAGGGTCCCTTCGGCATCGGTGGCAACATGACCCCGGTACCAGTTGAGCAGGTGGATGATGATCTGGATGAAGGCTCGGATTCGGACGATGACTTGGAAAGCGAGCTCTATGTTGAGTCAGACGACGAAGTGGATGAAGTGTACGAGGCTCGAGAGGCCATTGCTGGCCTGAGGACCGGGCACCAAGTCAAGAGCCGTGTTTTTGTTGCCTTTACATGCGCTGGAATTTTGTGAAGCCCGTCGTGCGCCAGGAAGCTCGAAATCGAGGGCGTGCTAACAAGGGAGCACAAGGTTCTCCTCTTGGCCGAGATGAGTGACAACCCGAAGGATGGTCTTTCCGCAGACAGATGCATAAAGTATCCATACAAGCAGAGCCAAGGTTTCTGAATGAGTGAGTCCGAGTCAGGAAAACATGGCTGAGCGCGCTTATAGGCTTCTTCTCCGCAGCCTGGCGCAGAGCACGGAGCAATTCCGCTCAGTTGCCTTCAGCAGCTGTTGTTTGAGAGTGTGGCAGCTTGATGTAGGTAGCCCGTAGGACTCGGAATGCTGCTGTGACAGTCTGTTTGCTTCCGCTCTAGACCAGGCGATGTAAACCCAGAGGACGACCCAGAGGACTACGAAGCCGCATGGCAGGATTTCGCGGATTTGCTCTCCCTACAGGTACGCGATGCACATCATAAAGCGCTTGGCGTGCCTCCTTTCGACCAGTTGCCACACCTGCTGTCCTGGTGCAGGTCCAGCGACTCGACAAGGGTAAGTCAGGACGAAAACGGCAGGTGACCCACCGTGCTTACCGCAGCGATGAAGCTACTCTGATGTGCTGTGGCTCGGGGGGAGAACCTTGCCAGGCAAAAGGAGGCGTCCCAGACAAATCCTGATGCGTGCATCGCTTCTTCGCGCTGCTCCATGTGGCAGCCGCAAGATTCAACTTGACTGATGGCCTCGCCACGTCCGTCGGACATGTGGCATGATGTAAAATTTAGACTCTTCATGGTCCTGCAAGCTGCAGCACGTAGTATGGAGTTTTGATGCTCTTTCCAAATTCTCGACGGCCAAGCCGACTCGTTACAATCTGGCCCGGCGACAAGTTTTCAGTTCTCCAAAAGAGCGACCTGCCAGAGCGTACCCGGATGCTGCTCCAGAAGTTTCACGGCTGAGAAAGGCAATAGCCGAAGAATTTCTCTGAAGCCCCAAAACCCGAAGCCCTGTGCACGAGATCTCGTTTGGCTTGTCCGAGTTGCGAGAGCGTCTACCCTCACCTTAAACCCGCAACCCCTCAGCCCCCAGCTCAGATGGACCGAAGCCTTGCCTGCCTTGCTCGAGTCGAAACCCCTCAACCCTAGGAACCCTCAACATTTTTGCCTAAACCCTAATCGAGCACCGCGTGGCGGAATTGTGTGGAGCCTTGCCTGCCTTGTGCGAGAGTGACAGTCGAAACGAGCAACGAAACCCTAAACCCTCAGAGACCCAAAGATGCCCGGGCGCGCGCGCCATCCATCGCAGTGTTTTCTCTTGGAGAGCTTGTAGGAGGTTTGGAGCCGCCCGGCCTTCCACAGACGGCTGCTAGCTGCCTTGTCTTAGCATGATTGTTATTACTGATGTTTCTCATGGTCAGAAAATTGCTATGGCTGTCAAGTAGTTCTTATCGTTGTAACTACGGTTATGGTTGTTACGATTACGATGATGATGATGATGATATTCGTATTACTGATTACATTATTGTTATTGTCATTACTGCTGCTGTTGTTATTTTCATTATTGCTATTCTTACTAGTCTCATTCGAAATGTTAGCATAAGTTAATAGGCTCATTCGAATTGTTAGCATAAGTTTTAGCAGTAGTTTATTGATCATTAGTATTTTTGTTATGACTGCTACTGCCATTCTTATTGTTATATTGTTATAACCATAATGACTACCATTATTGTCACTGTTATTGTTATTGTTATTGATACTGTTATGATGGCTTGAAATGCAGCTCAGAGGAAAGCGCTATGAGTTGATGAGATTCCGGCCCTCGGTTGGCTTGGCAGTACCGTCTCTGTTTCTTTGGCTTAGTGGACTGCCTGCGTCCAGAATGTTGAACCATCAAATCACACAACATATGGTGATACAGTGCACAGTTGATAGGTCTCCTTTCTTGAGCAAAGAAAAGGAAAGAGCACCCACCACGTAAAATGTACACAGCTCAAGAAAGGATGAGCTGACAGGTGCTTGCGTGCCGGGCCCCCATCTGAACATTCCCCATCGAAGTAGATGTGAAGTTTGTCTCTGCTGACCCTTGCGTTGAGTACGGGCCCGGCAGACCAAGATTACATGCTTGGTTTCAGACCGTTGTCCCAGACGCACAGCTTCAATTTTCTACATACCCTGCAACCGCCAGGCAGGAGCAAAAGGATTCAGGTCTGCACATGGGGGTTTCCGGAAGTAGGGAAAAATAGAGTACCCTAAACAGTAGGGTCCCTGTTACAAGGCCCCCAAAATAAGGTACCCCTTGTTTTCGGAAACTCCCACATGGCTTAGGCACAGACGAGCCTGTGTCCGAGTCTTGGTGAGGACAGTGCCCGTCCGTCTTGGCATCTCCGGCTTTTCCTTCTGCTAGAGCTGCTAGAGGCTAGTATGAGCCATCTGCAGACCTACCTACGATGCCACGGGCTACCCTCAGTCTTACCTTGTCGCTACTGTAGAGCCCGCCTCCGCTTTCGAGCCATGGTTGCGGGATGGGACGTCAGTCTGGAAGAGAGCATGCGAGGAATGCTGCCGAAGATGGCAAGGTCCATTGCGGGAAAGAAGCTTCCGCCAGTCCCAGCTGGCCTGGCCGGAGTGAGGGATGAGAAGGGGAAGCCACCGACATCCATTATGCTTTTCTACCAGTACGTGGAGCCAGCGTGGACTGCCAAACAGCACCGGCGAGCCCTTTCCTTTGTCGATGTCTCAGCCCCCTGCAATTGCCGCGAGTGTAAGTAAGCCGAGCAGTGTGCCCTGGTTCACGTGTCCCGACGAGGTGCACGACCTCGGCCGCAAGCACGGCCACATTCCCAGCACTTCGTGGGATTTACTTCCTCCGTCGTTGACTTGAGTGCTTGTCCTGCGATGTCTCCGTATGATTCTGAAAGGTTGCCTAGAAGTTTACTTGCCTTCCGATGCTGTAAGGAGTGACTGGTCGAGGTCGCTGTTCTGCTGAAGGTTTGAACCTCGCCGGTCAACTACCGTAAGTAGACTGTAGAGCAATGGCGTCGTCACGCAGCGGGCAGCAACCGAGGAACTGCACGCTCACAGGAACTGCTGAAGGGGTCAGAGCTTTCGCGCAAGGACTTCGGGAACCATGGCTAAAGATCACTGCCAAGCTTGTGGTATGTGATTGCGTCATGCGATCAGAAGTTGTGGAAGATGTCAGCTGCTCTCAATTTTTGAGGATTGGGATTCATTGTTCGACGACACAGATTTCAAAATAACAGATGGCCTGGACCACCACAAGAAGTTCAAGCATCCTGACGGCATTTGAGTTTACTGCCGGGATCCGAGATCTGAGATGTTGAGTGCGATGGCGATTGCTCAAGGAGCCTGACAATTCAGAAGAAGGAGGAGCTTGTGCCATGGCAAGACTATTAGGAGAGAACTTGTCATGTTTTCCAGCGGCATTGCCATCCACCTAGCTATGTATCTAGCAACCTCTATTTTTGCTACTTGTCATAAAGCCGTCAAGCTTTCGGAGTATCAGTATGTGATGATGGAAGAATCAAGCTATTAATCAGTCTATCCATCTATCTACCCACCTAACCTACCTACCCTACCTGCCCTAACCTAAGCCTAACCTAATTAATCTGCACCCAACCTTGCCAACCTATCTGCCCACCTGCCCACCTGCCCACCTACCCACCTACCTGCCTACCTCTACCTGCCTACCCACCTACCTACCTACCCCGTCTACCTACCTCTCCTACCTCTGCCTCCTACCCACCCACCTACCGGGATACGTCTTAAAAAGAAACTAAATAGGCATCAAAAAAACTAAATAGGCATCAAAAAAGCTAAATAGGCATCAAAACAAAACTACGTGAATAGTATTCTTTCTTGCGCTTCCTTTCGCTGTTCCTTCTTCTCTCTTTTTGTACTTGCGTGTTTTGTCTTAGTTAGTTTGCTGTTTACTGGCGTTTGTTTTTTTATTGCTTCAGTTCACTCTTGTGTTTAGTTTTCGCTTGTTTTTAAGTCTATTTCGTGCTTCCTGACGTCCTTCCCTTATGTCTGTCTTTATGTCTCGTCTCTCTTTCTGATTGTCGTTTTGTTTTGTTTTTCTTGATTTATGTCCTTCTTCATTTGCCGTTTCCCTTTCTTCTGTCTTTCCTTCGTTCGTCTTTCTTTCTTTCTTTCTTTCTTTCTTTCTTTCTGTCTCGCTTTCCTCTTTCCTCTTTCTTTTGTGCTTTCTTTCTTTCCTAAGGTTTTCTTTTTACGGCTTAGTTTAGTGCTTCATTTTTTTGATGCTTATTTAAGTGCTTAAGTTTTTTTATTGATGCTGATTTACTTTAGTGATCAAGTGCTCAAGTTTTTTTATGCTTATTTTAGTGCTTAAGTTTTTTTCAAGAAGTGTTGATGATTATTTTATTTGTTTTGATTCTCCGGTCTAGTTTTTTGATGCCTATTTAGTTTTTTTTGATGCCTCACCTACCTACCTACCTACCTACCTACCTGCCTGCCTGCCTGCCTACCTACCTGCCTGCCTGCCTGCCTATGCCTACCTACCTACCTCCCTACCTACCTACCTACCTACCTACCTACCTTCCTCCCTACCTACCTACCTGCCTGCCTGCCGACCTGCCT